AGATAATAAGAAAAAAGTTCACAGATTCAGTATGGACTAATCCTAACCCTAAAAGAAACATTCTCCGTTTTTAAATCGCCGAAAAAAGTTTACTTAATTATTTACTGCAATATTTATACGTTTTATTTTTAAAGACAATCTGGGTTTGTAACTTCAGGGGATCTACATGCATTTTTAGAGGATATGGGGAAGGGAAATATCCCTAGTTTTGTGCAATTACAAAAAATTACAATAATATAGTGTCATTATATAAACTCAAAATAGAGGTAATTTTCCACATTGCTGCGGTGAGGTGAAGTGTAATCTGTGGTTCACTTCTTGGATTTGTTTGAGTTTTAGCTCAATCAGCCTTCTGTTGCTTTAGTGTGGCAATAGGGAGCTTTTGTACTTGTGATTCTGCAGTGATGAATTGATCATGAGTATAATTCTGATCCATTTACTTTAAAGTACTTAAACTGATTTGAGAGGGTTTATTTCTAGTCTGAAGTGTAATTTTTCCGATGCAAGAATATGTTTCTTAAATTTCCATGTAAATGAAGATAAACATCGTCATTTCATGCCGCATCTTTCATACATAAAAAGATCAGTTTCAGATGGCAGTGTATTAAAAATCAGAGTTCATGGAATGTTTCAAATATGCATGTAGACATTTCTCACTTTGATTGTCTGTTCACTTCAGTGCAAAAAAAAGTTTGATTCTACTAAAGTTTTAACCAAAAATCACCTTTTCCATGAATAAATATATTTGCAAAAATCACCAACCCGAAAGAAAATTTCACTTTGGCAGGTCTGATAACCACTGCAAAGAACGCACAATATTTCTGCAATTCACTTGAACCATGAACAGACAATAACAGTCAATTTCTTCAATAAGCAAAGCTGTTTTTTTTTCCAGTGAAAAGGAAAGAAAAATGCATTCAGCTTGTCAACTGATGATCGCATAACAGGGAAATTTTGACATGCTCGAAAGCCTTTGAAAAATCAGTGTAGTGTAGTCAGAAACAGATGTAGCATGTTACATTTTCCTCCATCAATATATTGTATTATGCTAAGATTTGATTTTTGTCCTTTTGCTATTCTGGGGTGGTCTTGGTAATGGTCGCCATGCTTCGAATGCCTCAGCAGGGGTCTGACAGCTCTCTGATAGAAATGTCTTCCGTTTAGACAGAACAGTTGGGATCTGCGGGGTGGCAGGATTTGAGGTTAACGTACCATTTGCTTGAGCGTAAGGAAAACAAGATGAAAGATTAAATGAGTGTTAGATGAAATGTGCCTTTGTCTTCGGTTGCGAAATTAAAGGGGCCATACTCTACTACACTTTGGACAACATTGAATGTCCCAAAACAGTCACAATGTAGTATTTCACAATCATGTTCTACCCTCTCTATGACCCTTTTAACACTGACGGTAGTTTGCCACAGCCAGAAATTTAATTTTGATGGTTATTTACAATGAAAGCCCTCACCTGCTTTTCTCAAATAACATAAGACACTCGCATGATTTTGGAATTATTATGGATGAATGAGGCATTTATATAGCGAATTATTATGATTTTCACTTCATTTTCAGTCTGTCGGATTATCTTGCTGAAAACAAACCCATGTTGGGAAGCCCAACATGGGTTCATGGGTAAATGTTGTGTTGGTGTGAGTGAAGTGGAAGTTTGTTGATAAGTGAAAGGGGAAAACAGAGTCTGGATTTAAAGCTTCCGACAGCCTTGGAAACCCAAGGGCGGCCCAAAGTCACTCCACTTCTGCAGTGCAAGTGTACTGGGATTCAAACATACCAATGAGAAGCATCAAACCAGCACAGAAATCCACAACACCTACGTAATCAGGCCAACCGCCTCTAACCTTTATCTAAACAGTGTGGGGTGAGTTCACTAACCAATCGCAGTCCAGTTTAACCAGCAAAGAATGCCAGATTGCCCCCCTGTGTCTTCTATCGCACTCAATTAGGTAAATATATCACACAGACAAAAGGATTAAACAGGTCTCTATATATAACTAAACATACAGACAGTCTGATTAACCCAGTTCATCAATGGTCAGAGTGTGCATGTGTGTGTGGTGTGGTCATCACAATTCAAAGCCTATGTTAAATTGCTTTGTTCGATGAGCAGCACAATGTAAACCTCGAAGTCTTAGTTTGTGTTTTGCGCCAAACAGTGGTGTTCTGAATTTTCGTTTGATAATTTAAAGCGTCTGATTATCATATGATTTTGCCCTCAGTCTGATCCCTTATGTTAGTAGCTAATGAATAGGCTAAGATCACATTGGCTTTGTTTGCATCTTGGTCATGTGTGCTAGGTGTGACGGATGACTGATTGAGGCCTAAACTCATTGTGTTAATGTATATGTTGATACACAGATCAGGTGCTTTTGCTGTCACATGATTTTAACTTTTTTTCCCTTCCTATCTGGCTGACTAGGAAGGTTTTTTTTTTTTTTTAGATCTGTCCGTCTCTCTGTGCTATGGTGTCTTACAAACTGCGGTGTGGTTAATTGGAGTTTTGCTTGGATGTCTCGGCCTGATGAAAATGTCAAGCTTTATACACTTAGAGCGAGGAGTGAAGGGCCTACAAAATGCCTTTATCTGCAGTGGGGTTACTTGGGAGGTAAATTTTCAACTTCAGAATAAGACTCTGTCTCTGAATAGAGCTAAAATGTCAGTCTGGTAAATGCCACAGCTTTTTTTTGTCTCAAGAGGATGCAGGTATAGGAGCTTTTTAGTGCTGTGTTTTAGCTTTGGTCTTTGGTTTTTACTGAAAATGTGTTATGAAATACTGAATAATAGTTGTGTGCTGTGCTCAAAGTTGTTTTTATGAAAACTTTCATATATTTGCATATGATATTGTCACATAATCCCCTTTTTCTTTCTATCATCTGTTTTTTTTTTTTATCTGTTTTTTTTTTTTTTTTCACTGGTCAATTTTGAGATGTTGGCCTATTTGTATTCAATAACATGTCTTCTTTCAGACTTGTGCTGAAAAAAAGTCCAAAATACACATTTAGGTCTTTATTTTACTACACTTTGTCTGTTTACGTGTGTAGATTTCACCTAAATTCCTCAAAAGTTGGCATTCTAAATCATCCCGCTACTCTGTGATCGCAATCCGCAATCGCAATCCGCACCCTGTCATCGCACACATCGTTAGAAAGCTCTCTCTCTCCTCGTCATTGCTGTCGGATCCAAATATGGTCATTTCCTGTTTATCAGCAACCAATCATGAAAGTAAAATGGGCCATTTAACTCAAAAATGCTCAATTCTCCACATCTGTAACACCTACATACAGCAAACTTTACAGCCGTATTCCTAACTATAGTGTGAAGGTTTGTTCTGATGGATTTGTTGATATATCATTCTTGGCCTGATTTATGACATTTCATGCCTAAAAATAGGGTGGAAATCTATTTTTAAGGCTATTGACAGTATTTTCTGATTTACAGGGTAACAAAAGGAGATATTCATAATCCCCTCTGAAAACGTCTTTTCAACAAAATGCAAACATAATTTTAAACCTTGTTTTTTTTCAATGGTCAGATTCGTCACTTCAAAATAAATGCATATTAGCACATATTTAATTAGATATAGCCTGATTAGCATATGTAAACATAAAATTACAGAATACTTGCAATACATTTTTTTTCTCCTATTAATGCGAGTAATCAACTGGTAAAGTTTCATGGTGAAATCTGTTACAATTTTTATCCTATTCACCTGCAGTGTCTCGCCTTAATACGGCAATACAAGCAGCACAAAAAGACAGCCTTTGGTGTGTTTTTTTCATTTAATTGATTAGTGAGTTTTTGGCATAAACTACAATGCATTCAGAAAACACCAAAGCCTGTAATTTTCTTCTTAAATGGGGTCTTATGCTTGTTTGCGTTTTTAACTTTTAGTGTGTAATGTTACTGTTTGAATATGAAAAAGGTCTGCAAAGTTACAAATTTACCATCTCTATAATCAGTAATCACTGATTCTAAATTCTCTCTGAAGTACCTAGATTGTACACTTGTTTTCTTCTGGGATCATACAAGCCACAATATTCTTCATTTATAGAAATCCCAACTATGTCAGAGGCAAAAATGAAATAAGGATGAAATAAGTTAGTACTGTGTGGATGGTAAGGGGCGTGACTTTTCAGAAGCACACTCAAAGTGTTTGACCAATTACAATCACTGGTCCAGCCAAAATCAGAGCACACTGTGCTCATGAGAGGGAAACCGACTGGGAAAAGAGGTGCTGCAATGTGAAAAATGTGAAAAATAATGTTTTTGAACATTCACACATGAAAATGTGTTCTACAGTAGTAGACCCCCAAAAAAACAATGGTGTAATGGGTCCGATTCATTTAGAAATTAAACTGATTGAGTTCGCTGTTAACTCATTGACTCAATGATCCGGACACAGCTGTTAACGTCTCGCTGAAGGGGAAGATAATTAAATGATAGCTTAAATTCTGATTCTTGCATAAGTTGTATGGATTATTTTATGATACTTTTATGGTGCTTTTGAGTCATTTTTGAAACCTGGAAGTCCCCACTCATTATCATTGCATTGAAAAGAGCGACTGTTTAACAGAAGAAAGTCATACGGGTTTTAAAAATGAAATGAGGGTAAGTAAATGATGACCGAAATATACATTTTTGGATGAACTTTCCCTTTAAGCCCTTGGCTGCTTCACACAATCTAAGCGATTCCAGGTTTTACTATTGTAGACAAAACGTAACCTCTACACACGCTCATTTTCATCACATTGGCAAGCAAAGCCATACATATGCCCTCTCACACACTCTCCAGAACCAAAGGGCATGTATATTTACGTTTTGTGTAAAAAAATGTATGAACAAAAGGGCAGTTCCAGCATCAAACAGGCCTAGCAGTTTCACATGCACGTACATGCAAGCAAATATCAGACTGTCAATCTCAGTTTCCATGGAGATGGAAACATTTATTTATAGTCTGTCACTCACTCTTCATCTCTCTCTTTCTGCAGGTTTGGAGATGAGAGGGGCTATATACTCTATCCTCAAATAGGGGATCGTTTGGACCTTGTGTGTCCTGCCACGAATCCCTTGGGGCCGACCTCTCCCTCTGAATATGAGTTTTATAAACTGTACTTGGTGTCCTCACGAGAGCAGGCCGACAAGTGTGAGGTGATGGGTGCCCCCAACCTGTTGCTCACCTGCGACAAACCCAACAGCGATATGAGGTTTACCATCAAGTTCCAGGAGTATTCGCCCAACCTCTGGGGTCACGAGTTCAAGAACTTACGAGACTACTACATTATAGGTAAGTGTGTGTATTTTAACCAATATCGTAATGACAAGAAACATAGAGTGCAGTCAATTCCTTACTTTGGGCTATTTTTTACCAAACCAGTGTGTCTGCTGCACCTGGAAGTTTTTAATGAAGCGCCATCTATAACCATAGATGTGTGTACAGAATGGGATTTAGCATTAGTAAAAGGAAGTACTGTGCCTCCATTATTTTAATAATAAAAAAAAAATGTATCTAACCAACATATTTTGGGTTTGCAGTGCAGTAGTGAGCACACATATTCCAGGCATATTGTTCCTTGGTGTTCAAGTTGGTAACACATTTGTGAGCCTTGTCATGTTCAATAATCTTAATTTCCACTTTCTTCTGTAATTTTATTTTTTGTCACCCTCTATTGTAACTATTCTTAAATTATCAGCCAACAAGCCAAATTTAGCCCACATGTTGTGTTATCTTGTGCCCTCCTCAAATTAATCAATTTTTAACTTTTTGCATTTTGGTTTTAATGTACAGATACCCACACATGACATCTGGGGAGAAAATAACAATATATCATGGTCACCAATTAAGAATTTGTTTCCATGACTTAATTCATTGCTTCATTTTAGTTCAATTAATTAAACGTGGCCATGATTTAATTAAATGAAAACAAGAGAACAGATTACAACAATATTGCTACAAGTTAACTAAAATAAGGGAAGGAAGGAATAAATAAAACATGGCCATGAATTAATAAATCGTGTGAATAAATTCTTAATTCTTGACCGCAATATCTATTTGTTTTTTTCTTCCACCTGTCACCTGTTTATTTATTTAATTTATTTATTTATTTGATTCACATAAAAACACGTTTATTTGTTGCAGCTACTGAAATGGCACTTGTTGTACTGATTTAACCCTTATGTTGTGTTATGGTCATTTTGATCCAGAGAGGATTTTCTTTTACCCAGAAATGTTAGTTAATATTATCACATTGGACTAAAACTTATGACTTTGCTCACAAATGGTACAACTACTTCCCAATTTTTTTGACCAATTGAAGATCAAATCATTGAGGCCTACAATCAATCAGTTAAAAACATCAGTTTTGAATACAAAACCTGTCCTAAATGAAAGAAAACAAGTTGTCATAAAGATAGATTCCAATATTTGGTGATAACAGCAATTTACAAGCAATTTTTAAAAGGCCAGTCATTTTTGTCCGGAAACACCAAAGTGTTGCGTGTTTTTCAACAGCGTAAGGGTTAATTATGAATTTGAGAGCCCTGAATTAAAATTATTAAATATTATAAAAAGGTTAAAGCCCAAAGGGTGTTTTAATGTAATGGACAAACATTTTAGGGAACATTTGCTAATTGTCCAAGTGCAATAATAACACGCGTTTGCCGCAGGAATTCTGTCCCGTCAAATGTACCTCATAGTTTCTCCACCAATAGATGAATCCATCGATAAAACAGAGAATATGTGTGCGTGTTACTGTTTGTTCCCTAGGGAAATCACTTTTAATTAACCTATGTTGGCAGTTGTTAATTTCTACAATATGCCCGTAATGAGAAAGAGAAAGACCGTGTCTGGTGCTGTGCGGTTTTGCACACGTTTGTGATTATGTGGATCTTAATTGGCTGTAATGGGCCTGTGAGACTCAAGGGCATTTAAGAGCAGCTAGAGACATCAGCCCGACCAATGTAAAACACACATGCACAAATATCCAAGTATTGTGTCTGTGCTGTTAAACTGTTTACGTATTAATATAGAATAACAGCATTAATGTATTAATGTAGATTTTTGTGGTTTCGTCCTGGTGTGTGTGGCTGCGAGTGATGCTTTTAGCTGGTGCTTGTTTCCCCTGTGATCTGCACTGTTTGAAGCTGAGATCTTCTCCCTGCTGAGAGTGTATCAGAGAGTATCAAACGCTCCGAGCTCTTTTGTCAAAACTTTGATCACTGGGCGCTAACTGAGATCTCAGGGGAGCACTTTACCCTAAAAAAGCGTTTAAAAAAACCCCAATGCATTAGAATCCCTCTCCAAAACCTCCCCTTTACCAGCACATACTCACACAGTCGATAATTTACAGTAGTCGCCTTGTTGCATTGCTGAACATATTAACGGTAAGATTGAAAAGTGTATTACCGTGGACTTACATGTAGCCTATGCCTTTGTTTGCCAATCCTACATCTACTCATTTATATTTCAGCTCTGGAGCATCAGTGTATGTTTATGTTTGTGTCGCACTGGATTAGACTTGTGGTGAGGGGTTGTTAATTATTGAAAAGGTCTTGTTGGTTTATTTATCAAGGTTAAGCTGAAATATTAGAGATGAGCCCTACTCCGGCCCTACCCTGTGTGTGTACAAATGCATAACTTCCCATTGTGAGCGAGTGACGCAATACATTGTCTGCTCGTGAGTCATTTAGATTTAGATTTTAGACATATCTTTTCAGTAAATACATTTTTAAGATTCAGATTTAAAATTTTACATGATTTAACACATGATTTTGATTTGAGATTCCAATTTTTAAAAATGCATTTAAAATTGATTCATTTTTAAGACTGATTTGTACTTGTATTTAAAATTTAGATGTTATATTTTACATTTAGATTGAACACTTAAGATATTGACTTAAGATTTGAATTTAAAAATTGCATTTAGATTGATTTGATTTGAGAAACTAAGGTCTTTTGTGATTTCAATGCTTATCGCTACCACTTATCATCTGTCACTAGCTATATTTCAGCTACAATTCATACTATTACTGTGACGGTTGTTCTTGAAAATACTTCGTCTGCAGTAATGTTTTTGGCTGTAAATAAATGTATTTGTGTTAGTAGAATATAATTTGCAGTTGCATCAGAAAGTTATGTGATTACATAATGTACGTTACTTGTAATGCATTACTTGTTGCATCAGAAAGTAATCTGATTACTTTATGCGTGTTACTTGTAATGCGTTACACCCAACACTGCTCATTTCAGATAAGATTGAAAACACCTGATCATTAGTTTTTCACAGTCTGAAAACATCAGTGGATCAATGTAGATTTCACTCCGGGGTTTTCTCAGAAAGGAAAGAAATGGTACTAGACCTTTTTTTAGAACATAATCAGAATGAGCATCTAATCAGGGTAAATCGATGTACTCTGGTAGACTGGAAGGAGCTTAAGAATTTTCTTTCTAGTCTGAGTTGGGTTTCTTGTTTCCCATTGAAATGTATTGTTACAGTAAAAATACCGTATTTTCTGCACTGTAAGGCGCACCGGATTATAAGGCGAGTTCGCGGGCGAATTTAATTATAAGGCACACTGTCGTTTTTTTTTTTTTTGAGAAAATTAAAGGCTTTTAAATGTGCCTTATAGTGTGGAAAATACGGTAATTTTTCAGTTTTTTTAAGCTGTGAATCAAACAAAGATTATTGGAGAATGTTTTACTTAAAAATGTCAGGTTTATTATTTAGGTTTATCATTTAAAATATTCAAATTAATTTCAATGTGTTACGTGCCATTTCTATGTAATTATTGTGAAATTGACTTTTTGAGTGGAAATTATTTCTACACCAGTAAGTTTTTCAGTGTGGTAAAACTGGGTCACCTTTTTGAAATACACTTTATTTAACATTTGGAACCCTGTGCTTGCAGTGTAGAAACGGGAAAGGTTTTACCAGCTTGTCCACACACACTTTATCACATTCCATCACATTTATGTATTTTTAGCTGTTACGTTTAGCATACCTTGTTGCAGCTGCACAGTTTAAAGCCATGTTAAAATTAAAACTGTACTATTTAATTTCACACAGATGACGCACTGCTCTCTGTTCCAAAGTTCAGAGTTTGTGGATGCGTGTGCATGTTTTGTGTGCCTGCCATTTTGAACCAGTGAGTTTGCTATCTGATGGCTATGAGTTGTGACAGGTCCCTCCCAAACTAGGTCAGCAATCAGATCCCCAAACCACACTATGTTTGGTGTGTGTGTGTGTGCATGGAGTCTGTGTTTATCCCTATGAATGTGTCCATTTGAATTTCCTGCTCTGTTTTGACTTCTGCATGCGACGGTTTGATCTGAACGATCTGTGTGTGTTTGTGTGTGTGTTCCTGATAAAGATCACGCTGTAGGTCTGAGGTTAATGGGATATAGACGGTTTAACACAGAGATTCATTAACCTTCTGGCATCTGCAGCTGCGCTTAAAGTCATTAAGTACACACAAACACACACATATACATAAAAACACAAACATACACACACCTGGCCTTGTGTAAATGTAGAACGATTCAAAGTAAGTCTTGCTAACATATGATCTTCTTAAATGCATTATGGACACTGGCTGGTGTGTTTATTTCATCACATGAAGATTTAATTTGATTTTATGTTGCTAAACGTTCCACAGAGCTAACTATAATGCTCACAGTGACATCAGACATAACCCAACACATACACACTCAAGCGCAGCAGCAGCAGCAGGGGTGAATAAAGGCTCTTTTGATGGATGGACGTGCGAGCAGAGGGAGGGAGATTACGGTGTGAGGGATTGTGGGAATTCTCCTCACCAGCTGTTCACTAGAGACAGGGTGGAGGAAGATGAAGGGAGAGAATGATGGATGGAGAGAATGGTGTGAGGGAAAGAGAATAGAGAATTCAGATGATTATGTAGGTGAAGGCTCTGAGGAGTAGAAATGGAAATATTATTGAACATAAACGCATTGGCTCGCACAAATACACTCAAATACACTGTTTGATAAATGTATGTGTCCTTGCTGGATTAATTGTTAAAGTATTAAAGTATACATTTATTTTAACCAAAAAAATGACTGACCCAAACTTTTGAACAGCAGTCTTCTACATTCACACTCTTTTGGAGATTTTTTGATTGAAAACATGATTCTGTTTCTAAATGGAGACATGCAGTAATAAATCCAAATGTACACTGCCTTAAATTAAGTACAATAAACTTGGATGTTTAAGTCATTTCAATTTAAGTTACATTAATCTGAATTAAAAATGAAACAGTAACGTTTGCCTG